AGGACAATGACAATCTGAGAAAGTAGTGAGAAAAACGAACCATGGAATGTAGCCAATAGCAAACAGGGTCACCAGACAGGGTACTGAGATAGCAAGGCAACGAGGTCACACAGGACACAGGAAAGACAGGGTAACTCATTAACTGAGCAATGAGGCAAGCCAGGGGCAATGGCTAAGAAGGTTACCATTAATTATAAGAGTCTAAATTGATTAAACATAGAATTGTGACATCAGAGAGCAAGAAACATAAGTCTAAGTTAGTCCTTCTTTGGGCATTCTGACACAAACACGCTCATGATATATGATGGCTACTGTTGCTACTCCAACACCCTTTGTCATCAGTTTATCCACCAACATACCATTTTCAGCTATGTCTGTCACTGTCAATTGTGTTTTACTTTGAATGAGCTCCCAATAGTTCAAACAGGAGTAAGCTGAGAGATTTGCGTGGGGCGTAATGTTTGATTGAAGTCTAGTCTGTGAAACTCCTTTGAGTTCTCTTTACAGTCAGCCACCAAATTAATGTTAAAATCCTATATGGCTGTAACATGAACCCTATGAAAAAGTGCAAAATAAACTCATATATACCAGTAAACTAAATTGAATACATATCAAAAATGTTTATATATTTGGTATATCTTTCATTATTGTTTCCTGTCTAATTATTACGTGTGGGGTTTTCATTGTCTCACTGCTGCATGTTTCCCAAGAAGTTTAAAATCACTGAGTAGAGGCACTGAAAATTAACTTAGTCAAGATGTCCCACACTCACTGCCCTGGTGGAAAGTGGAAATCTGCCGTGTCAAGAGTGATTACCTAACCTGCACCAAAGATGGAGCACAGAAAGTGTACCTGCATAGGATAGGTATTTACTCAAAAAATTAATTAAGAGAGGGTGTTTGGATCTACACAAAAAATAACTATCAGACAAAGAGCTATGCTGTCATAAAAGAAAAAATAAATTTTATTATACATAAATAGTATACTTCAAAACCAAACGTGCTAATGAACAAAACGTAAACCTAAAATAGGTGCTAAAAACTAAAACCAAAATCAATGTGCTGGTGATATAAAAACAAAATAGTCCAAGTGGCCTAATTGTATGGTCAAAAGGTACTAAAATAAGAAATCTACTAAAAGAATTTCAGGTACGTATCGTAGTATCGAATATTAGCCAGTATATACCTCTATAGAGAGTGTCCTTCTAGTTGGTTGGTAGAAAGGAATCACTGAAATAACAACGAGACCAAAAAACAGTCCCCAGGCAACTTGGTAGGTATAGAATGAGACTTGAAAACTAAATGTCAGCTAATGTGTACAATTTCATAAAGAGCTGGGGAACTGAATACAGGTCTAAATGATATAAGAAAATCACTATAAAGTTTAGAGGGTACATAACAAGAAAAATGTAGAATACAAGGACGAAATGCACAGCTCCGATGGGGAGAGCGGATTTAACTGCTACCAGATCATTTAAATCTTATATTGCCCAGAGATCGGTGTATCTACCAAGTACCAAGTATTGGTTCCCCTCTGATGAGCCAGGTCGGGCAAAACGCACGCGTCACGGTTCCATGGTGTACTTCTCTTATGACTTAGAGTGAAGTACATTCATCTACGACCATGCTATTGATATTTACCAATATTTAATCAACCTTAGATATTAAGGGTTTTGCAGTGTGCTACTCCCATGATCTGGAGTTAAGCACATCTACTTGCAACCAAGCCACAGAGATTTATTAATATTTTATTTTATCCACTTTAGACATTTCTCTTTTTTTCTTTTTATTTATATCTTGTATCTATCAGCTAGCGGGACGAGCAATATTTGCCCTCGAAGGCACAGGGGCAGTCTAGCTCTAGTAGCAGCTTTAGTGTGTGAGAACTGTATAGATCTTTATCAAGAGACTCACCGTTACACCAACGGTTTATTTCTGCATATCTGTAAATAGCATTAAGTGGGACGAGAGATAGGTGCCCTCGAAGGCACAGGGGCAGTTTAGCTCTAGCAGTAGCTCCGCTTGAGAGTTTACTTAAGAGAGCAACTGCTATATTTACGGCACATCTCTGCACCGAACCGACTGTGAGCATTAGATTTAACTTTCATCTAATGTTTCGGCTACACTGTTGCAGTATTTGATAACTTTTACTATCCTTTCTGAATATACCTGTCAGCTCCCTCCATTGAGCTGTTAGTTACTACCCAACTTTCAGACTCTTGATACTTGGTAGATATACCGATCTCTGGGCAATATTAAATTTAAATGATCTGGTAGCGGTTAAATCCTCTCTCCCCATCGGAGCTGTGCATTTCTTCCTTGTATTCTACATTTTTCATGTTATGTACCCTCTAAACTTTATAGTGATTTTCTTATATCATTTAGACCTGTATTCAGTTCCCCAGCTCTTTATGAAATTGTACACATTAGCTGACATTTAGTTTTCAATTCTCATTCTTTACCTACCAAGTTGCCTGGGGACTGTTTGTCAGTCTCGTTGTTATTTCAGTGATTCCTATCCCATGCAGGTACACTTTCTGTGCTCCTTCTTTGTTACATTTGGGGTTACCCCCCGTTCTTTAAGTGTACCCTTCATTTGGCTCTACTTCTGCTCTTTTGTTTTCCTAACCTGCACCACCTTCACTCAAGATAAGGGATTGCTGTATGCATGGCATATGTATACTGGGGACCTGTGTCCCACAGCCAGAGCTGGCTTACTCATTAGGTGGTCAAGGTGGGACACCTGGGTCCCAGATCAACAGATCTGCCTGCATGGACCTGCACTTATGAAAATGATTCCATGGTTTTCCATATTAATACCCCTAATGGTTCTGGCAGTCAGTGAAATAGAGAGGGCACAGCCTGATGGATTTCAAGCATACCTTCTGACATGCTCATAGAGCATCGGACAGGAATCAGCAATTAATATGGTCTGCTCCATGCACTCCACCACAGACCCCACCAGACCATCAGGGAACCCACCAGACCACAAGTAAATATATTAATTCCCCTTCTGCACAGGAGGAAAGCAGAAGGGAAGCAAATGTTATATACACTTAAAAAAGGCTTCTAAGTATGGGGTAACTGTGTGTAAAACATCCTCCTCACCTACTGTCACTACCCTAACGTACACTAAGTCCCCACACATTATCACCCCTCACTCAGCTTGCCACAGTCACCCCCTTCACCCTGTCGCACTGACCCCCAATTCTCTTACACTCACTCCCAACCCTCTTACATTCACCACACAACCTTTTCACACTCACCCCCAAACCTTGTTATACTCACAACCCTTCTCCCTGCTACACTTCAAAAGTCCGCAATGCCAATGACAGACACACTCTCAAGCAAATGCACAGGTACATAATGCTAGACATACAGATACACTCAGCGCTCCCCCCCCCTATGCAGCTATCATCTGTCCCGAGATGGCTTATATAATACACACACACACCATTCACAGAAACAGAGCCAAGGAGGGGTCAAATTCTAACACTCTGCCTAGGGCCCTGGGCAACCTTAATCTGGCTCTGGCTACAGCCTTTACTGTAAGGTATGTACAAGTGCATATTTGCTAAGACTTCCCTCTTGTTTTTAAAGGGACACTATAGGCAACCAGACCACTTTAGCTCACTGAAGTGGTCTGGGTACAGTGTCCCTGTTGCCCTTAGCCATGCAATGTAAAACATTGCAGTTTTAGAGAAACTGCAATGTTTACATTGCAGTACTAAGACAGCCTCTAGTCGCTGTCTACTAGATAGCCACTAGAGTCGCTTTTGGAATCTTACCAGACTTTAGGTCCCTTAATTGGCATTGGACGTCCTCACGCTGTGCGTGAGAACATCCAGTGTCAGTTAAATATCCATAGGAAAGCATCGCTCCAATGCTCACCACGCATATGCATTTTCAGAAACTGTCAAACACTTTGGCCTTAATTTAATACTTTTGTATAAACTTTTCACATGAATTAATAATTTGAACAATATTGTAATATTTTCATATTTTTTATATGTTGATATATTTTTAGATAGTATATATTTTATAATATTTGTTTTGATATGACACAATACATACTTGATATATTTAAATATTTGGGGATTTAAAAAAAAAGTAGTTTGAAATGTTTATCAAAAAATATTACATCCGAAGGCATATCCAAAAATAATAAATTGAGTGTTTGATAGCTGATATATAACTGTTTTTGCATTTTTGCATAAATCTCTAAAAATGGCTTTGGGAATAACACTGGAAATATCACCACATCAACAATTACTATTAATGCCTAGAGCAGATCCAGAATTAATTAAATCACCCAGATATTTTGCACATTACTATTTTCTCTGAGCCAAATTAATTTTAGCATCTAGATGTTTGACACATGGAAAGGGCACTGTTTGGTTGAAGGCTGTTGACCTAGCAGTAGCAAAGGGCCCTTCAAATGCTGTTTTTTATAGTTCTAAAACTAATGAGAAAGGAATAAAACATATAATTTATTTTCTCAACATACTACAAAATGATATGTAGTTTTATCTAGATAATACAAAACAATACAAACCGACTTTATCCATCTAACTTAAATATAGGCTTGATGCTGTTAAACTTGTTGTTTCACCCAGGCTTGATGTGATGCTGGGGATAAAGTAATAACACCAGCTGAAAAAATTGTTAAATTGCAATTTAGAATCAGGCATGGAGAATTGTTATGATGTAATTAGCATTGCTTTCCATGTAACTTTATATCAAATTACACGTATAGGACAACCCCCAGAGCGAATAGGGAGGAGGGAGCATGACTGCTGCCCTGTAGGGTTGGCATAGCAACCAAATGGATACAGTTGGTTTTACATTTGGAAGCAGAGGATTTTGGGAAAATTACCAGACTACTGGTGAACAATAGTGATGTCCCAAACGGTTCGCCGAATGGTTCGCGAATGGTTCGCCACGAACGGTTCGCCACGGACTCATCATTGAGTAAACTTTGACCCTGTACCTCACAGTCAGCAGACACATTCCAGCCAATCAGCAGCAGACCCTCCCTCCCAGACCCTCCCACCTCCTGGACAGCTCACTAAGAATGCAGCCTCACAATGAATGTAAAATGGATGCTGTCCAGGAGGTGGGAGGGCCTGGGAGGGAGGGTCTGCTGCTGATTGGCTGGAATGTGTCTGCTGACTGTGAGGTACAAGGTCAAAGTTTACTCAATGATGAGTCTGCGGCAAACCGTTCGTGGCGAACCGTTCGGCGAACCGTTCGGGACATCACTAGTGAACAATGTTGAAGGAGTCTGGCATTGTCTTTCCCCACCCACCCTCCTCAATGGTTTTGCTCTAGAATTGTTGTTTTGTGTTGTGTTTTTAATTTTGTCACAGCTGTGGGTTTCCTGTGCCAGAGAGCCTCAGCCTGAATTTGGTTGATGACAAAGGACAAGCTGAAGAGGCTCAGGAGAAAGTTTTAAATGTACCTGTCTGCTGGTTAAAACCAGCAGCTGACAGTATTTGGCTATACTAGCTTCAATAAAGCTGTGGCCGTTGCCCTTACCCACTTTTCATGGTGTTGTGTTACTTATTGGGAATGGAAGGGAAACAGGATTTGGTGATTGAAGGAGTCAGCAGTCAAGCAAAAAGAAAAATCATGGCATCCCACTTTTTCTTTTATTTATTCATTATTAATAAGATGATGGGCTCAACTGATACCTATCTCAAGTGTCCTGATTTTATAATTTTAACTGTACCAGGATATTTAGTTGTAGATGCTTCACCTCTTCACTACCCTGTCTCTACACATTGTTTTATATTCATTTTTCATTGCATAGCAATTTAAAACATATTCGTTTCTAAACCCCCTTCCTTTATACAACAGGATTTTCAGCTTGGAGAGAACAAGTTTAATTGCAGGACTCCATTATAACCATGTGAACGACTGGAATCGGAATGAAAATGGCACATCCACACATTTTAAAGTAAGTTTCAAAGTAGAAATAATTAGATGCTAGATTATGTGTGAAATATTGCAACTTAAGGAATACTGTATAGTGTCTTAAGTGTTCCATCTCCCCCAAAATTTCTGCAATGGGTTAGCAAACAAATGAAAAATAAAAAATTTTTTGTATTTTTTATCTTGTATGTTTTATGTACTTCATGTTTCAAATAACGGTTAAGCTGCTAATATTATTAAAAGGGCCTTGATAATGAAGGCGTTATATTTTTACAAGTTTAATGATTAAAATATGACACATTATCACCGATACAAATCCATAATTCCAATTTTCTGGTTTGTGGACATGTACTCATCCATTATATTTAACATAATATTTTTTCTTTTAAGGAAAATTTAAACAATTGTTTTATTATCATTTAAAATAAAAGTCTACATGTATTATAGTCCCTGTGTGCATTATTTCATAATTCATATGTATACAAGTAGATACATCTATTACGTGAATCTCATGGTTGACCCATGCTTTGTAAGGGAGACCATTTTCCGTGACTCTTTGGTCAAAAGCACCACTTATAAACCAGGACTTTTTGTAATCTGAACAGCTGAAACCCGCTCACCATGGATTTTTTTAAATGCCGTGAATTTATGCACTCACTCTCGATAACCAGCACTTGGGTTGATAAACAGTGCTTTTGACCTCAGAACACATAAAATGGCTGTTCACATGGAGCAAAGGTAAGCCAGGAGAAATAAGGAAAATAGATATCTTAAAATAAAATAGATATCTTACTAACATGTATGTGTTAGAATCTTAAACATATAGAGGTCATAGTATACATAAAACTTTATTTAAAATAAAAATAGAAAATCATGACAGTTTTTCCTATGCTATGTGGCCAATAAATGAGAAATAAAAAAGCTATGTGCAAAATCAGTGTTTATATATATATATTTACCAATAGAACACACAGCAATGAAGAAATATACAATATGGTTGAAATTCATTTCTGATGGGACAACTGCTGTGAAAAAATAAATTTACCCATTTTCCTTCATAAGGTGCAATCACACATATATAAGACTGAAGTGGGAAGAATCACATACTGCTGCAGTTATTTATTTTCTGTCGAGGCCACCCACAGTTGCTCACTGATCTATCAAAATGCAATGAAGCCTAGATCCTTAGAAATTATGTTGGATATTAGGTAGACTAGCAAAGGTTTCAAACCTGTTAGGTATTCAGTTCTATAAAATGTGTATAGCATGAATTTGCTTAGTGATAGATTTTATATTTCACGTGCATTCATGAGGAACATTTGAAATGCAAGAAATAGGTTTGCATGAGTGATTTTCAAAGGGACACTATAGTCATCTAAACCACTTCATCTCAATAATATGGTCCTGGTGCAGTGCCCCTATCCTTTTAACCCTGCAAGGCAAAACCTTGCAGTTTTTTAGAAACTGCAATGTTTACATATATCGTTACATTGCAGGGTTAAGTTCACCTCTAGTGGCTGTCACTAGAGGTGGACTTAACCCTACAATGTAACAATATATGTAAACTTATTTTTATTTAAAGGCAGACACGGAGGGGGTGACCCTAATACAAGTAGGTGCAGGGATAATATCGTGTTAGGAATACAGGCTCGTACTTCTAATACTATAGTGTTCCTTTAAATAAATATTTAACAAACAATATGTATTATGATTTGCAATATATGATACAAGTGTAATGTCACCATATTTATAGACGTTTGAAAAAATATATATAAAAATAAAAAATCCTTGGATTAAACCTGACTGCAAAAAATAAATAAATAAAAATCGATAAAACATTTGATTCAGCGTGCTTTGGGTTTTGTTACTTGATTTGGAAACCAGCTTTCTATGTCCACTGGTTCCTAATTGGTATGTGATATAGAAGTAATTGTATCTGCTAGCCAATATGTGAAGGTGCTTAGATCATGCTTTTTATTTGAACTATTTCCGCAGCTACCCCAGCACATAAAGACCGACTCATAAAAACCAGCATCAACTTTTCACTAATGATGTATAAGGTTTAATGCTAAAAAGTAAAAAGTCAGCAAAATACTTTTTTTTGCTATCTGGTGGATGTTGTACAAAAAAGGTATTTCTCATTGCCTTGACACCTCTGCATAACACGCGCACATCTATCTATTAATTCACATCGTGTGACTATTTAATTAATAGGCAATATTCACGGTGTTGTAATTATTAAACACTGACTTGATATGTGTTAAGTAGATACTCAGAAAAAAGAATGTGGGCTATGTACACATACGGTCAGATGGTAATAATTACACATAGAAGAAGTGTTGGAAAACTAATTCCCGTTTAGAAGGGGGAAAAAAGCATTAACTGAATTCTGTTACTATTAACATCCTGTATGTGACCTCTTTAGCGAGTAATGGCTAAGGAGAAGTCAATCATTTCTTACTGACACATTTCTCTTACAACAAACAGAGATTCATTATCCTCTCCAACGTTCCTGGTTTCCATGTGTTCAGATTGCTAAGAAATTAGGTGCTACCTTAACTTGCTTTTTGTAATTTCTTTAACTTGTTTTATTTACTGTTTGTACAGTGCTGAATGTTACCTTGATTTTCTACAATAATGTCCCTATTATTATTTTTATAACATGTCTCATCTCCTCATTCTCCATCATTAACACTTCCACCTTCTTCTTTACATATGCACAATGTTTATATACTTTATATATTGTGAGTACACTGCACACAATCTTTTATCAAGATAAACTGTATTTTCCACACCAACCCTATATATCACTTAACTTGTTCATTTGTTTAGTCTAATTTAGTCATTTATGTTCTCAGTCTATACCACAGAGGGATATGTTGGCACAGAGTAATATTAATACATAGTACATAAACATTAATATAGTTTATTAATAAAGCAATAATATTTAAATTATGCGCAGGCATAATATTGTAATGGAACTTTGCTCTGTGTAGTTTGATTGACTTCTCAGTTTTAATAGTGTCTATAATTCTACAAACCGTCACAAGATTTATGTTAGTCTAATTGGCTTATTTTGCTTTCAGTACCTCTTTTCATTAACGCCTAAAAATTCCTACCTACTCCTGAACTCCATCTTACGTCTTGCTGTTTTCTCTTAAAGGGATACTATAGTGCCAGGAATACAAAGCGGTAAATAAATGGTTAATCTATTTACCTGATCTCAGCGCCAACGTCCCTTAGTGCTCAGTTGCGGCTCCGCCTTCTCAGACATCCTTCGTCCTGCGCATGTGCGGCAAGTGCCATCCGTGCATTAGACCACCCCATAGGAAAGCATTGATTCAGTGCTTTCCTACATTGAAATAGCTGACGCTGCATGTTCTCATACAAAGCGCAAGGATATCCAGCGTCAGTTATCGGACCAAAAGTCCATGTGGATCCAGGAAGCGCCCCTACAGTGGCTGTCTGGTAGATAGCAACTGGAGGCAGACTAAGTGCTGCAGTGTAATCATTGTAGTTTCTTTGGAACTGCAATGTTTTACATTGCAGCACTAAGTGCAATAGGGGCTTATGAGCAATGAGCTGAAGTGGTCTGGGTGTCTATAGTGTCCCTTTAACCCCTTAAGGACCAAACTTCTGGAATAAAAGGGAATCATGACATGTCACACATGTCATGTGTCCTTAAGGGGTTAAAGAACATAGCTTGCAAACGTTGACTTTTTCTTTCTCAGGAAACTAAATAGTTAAATCGAGTAACTCTCATCCAAGCTACATACCCTCTTCTTAATGACAGCTTTGCTCAAAATGCTTCAGGTGCTCTCATCTTTCTTGCTTGTTTCTGATCTTAGGTTCAAAATTGCTAGCCTTAAATTACACTAGGATGAAGCTTAATACAAAATTTTAACACACTTCTAAAAGTCCTGCATGGTTCAGTTTCTTTACACATTTCTGTCCTGCTTGAATTGCTGGTGTCATACAAATAAATAATAATAATAATTCCTCTCAAATTAAAACAACACATATAATCACTATTCTAAATATGTTATATGCCTTACGCTTTTCAAAGCTGGTAAAAAAATATCTTTTTATTCCCATGCTGATAGCTGTTGAGAAAGATGCTGTACAGTCATTATTCATATGAGCTCAGTGCAATGTACTTCCTCTCCCTTTATCTTCTTGATGTTATATGATTATAGGCAGATAGGTAGTAACAGTGAATATAATTGATGTTCAGT